TTTGATTATTAGAAGTGTTCTTGGGCAATGATCAACGTGCATATCCCTCTGGTGGTGGTTTTCTTTCCTCAGCATAAAATGTTTGAGAAGAGGTGTTCAGCTGTGATTTGGTGTCAAACAGTAAACGAATTCACACTTCATTTAGTTATTGTGGCGTTCTCGAAAATGCTACTGAGTGATGGAGATGGATGGCATATACGTACTTCCGAAAGCGTCGACAAACTAATTGCTCCATCGAATCACTCACGCTTTAGACTGCAGAGGCAAGTGTCAGAGATATCGTGCTTTACTCGTGTCTGAACATGCTGAAAAAGAATTGTTTTGACCTCCTCGTGGTCTGGTTGATGAACAAGATGCAACACTCGCTCCTAACGCTCCAGTAAGTTGGGAGCTTGACGACGACAAACACCCGGTTTTACCGTCGCAGCCTTTGGCGTTTTCTTCTTCTGTTCCCCACTTGCGTACTTTCAGTGATGTTAGAGAAAGCGAGTGGGTGAATGTGCTGTTGCCTGGATATGGACAATGCTAGATTCAACGTGTACGTGTGACTCCTTTTCGCCAACCGAATAACGTTCAGGCTCGCGCTATTCAGTCGCTTTCGAATTCTTCTAGCAGCTAACCTGCCCCGCCTCGCCCAGGTGTGGCGAAATGCCCCTACGCGACTTCGTTGGAAAGTTTAATTACTCCGGCCATTAACCGATTAACTCAACGCTAAAGTTCAATTGAAAAGACATGCCAGTGCACGAGGAAGAGCTATTCGATTCTAACAGTGCCCTCACGAAATATCTACACCGCCTACAACAAAACCGAATTGTTTACCGGTTTTTGGATGGACCAATAGTCAAAATCTGAGTGGTGATCTCGTGGCGCCTTACTAATTGGTTGGAGCAAACCAGTGCCTAGAAAACTTCCGCAACACTATGAACAGCACGTTTATAGAATACAACTCCTCCTTCAGAGAGTATCACTAAACGTCATATCACTCGACCTACCACGCTACCAACCATCTACAGAATCGCGGTTTTGAGTGTGTTATTATCCGGCAAGATTCCCCGAAAACAGAAAACCGTGAGAAAAAATAAATTCGGCGAAACCCTGCCGGATCTTCCAGCATGTGCTGTCGCCATAATCTTTCCGTTCGCGAGCACACCTGCGCTGCGAAAAGTATTCGCTGAAACATTGTAATGGTTCAAGCTTTTCTCTACCAACAGGATCAATACTCGATGGCGTTGTGTTAATAGGAAGCCGAAACAGATTTTTCTTACAATGTGAAC